TGAAATGTCACAAGTATGGAAGACAAGTATTTTACGAGTTACAAAAAAATCTTTTTCTTCCTTACAGTTCAAAACTGGTTCATGTGACGACTGTAGGACCAGAATCTGATTCTGTTACGTTGAGATTTTGACAGCAATAAAGCCTTGTTTGTATAGATGTCTTCTTCTTTAATCCCGATCAGCTTTTCTGTTCTGGACACATTTTTTGAAATGCCAACACAAACAACATTTTCTTTGCTTTTCTTTTTCTGAAGAATTTTGCCGTTCACTCTTGCAGCATGTTTCTGAAGGATTTTGCTGTCTATTCTTGCTTCATCATCTGTTCTACACCAGCTTAGGTCGAGCTTTGGTATTGGTACCCAGCCTTCAACACGCATGTATTCACCGTCAACTACGAGCACGAATTGTTCGTACATGTAACCATGTCCAGGTTTATCTAAAAGATCATTGGTCGCATATTTGTACAACCACATAAAGCTACTGATGTTAAGTTTCCACTTTTGTGGTCCGTCAGCAAAAAATGCTTCCATATTTATTCTTGGTACACAAAAGTAAATGATGTCACCTGAATAGTTCAGAGATTTGCTTGCGTCACCATTCTGATAACTTTTGATACAGCGGCTGAATAAATTTCGTAGATATTCCGTCATTTTTGTAAGCTTTTTATTGCATGCACGATCTGTTCAGTTGTGTTGTAGAAACCGTCACTAAGTAGCTTCGCAACGACGTAACGTCCATGGCGTCAACATAAATGACGTTTAACGTCAATGACGTAATGATAAAATTACCTTATCTTGACATAAAAACTCTCAATATGGAAGCTCAAATGAATAATATAACTTCTATAAATGTGTTTCTTTTCTATTCATATAAGTGTAAAAGCTGCACGCCTCCAGATGAGCCAAAAATATTTCAAGAAATTCAATCTTTAGAAAAATATATTAAGATCTTAAGAAAAGTAAAAAGATTCAATATTCAATTAATTATTTACATGTTATGTGCGATTAATGACTGATTTTGCAGTATCAATCACTACAATACTACTGCGTTACTAACGCGGTAAGATGCATTTATGTATAATTTGACCTCTTTGGATTGTAAGTGCGGTTTGCAATTTGTAAATTACTTTTTTTTTATTCACTTCACAATATTTTACTTTTAAATACATTTTCAAAATTTTCATGAAAATTAGCATGAATCTGGAGGCATGGTGCTTTAAATAATGTAATACGTCAGCGGTCTACAAAAACAAAATACACGTAGTGCCCGCTTGATTGTGAATATTATATCATTTAAAGGTCCGCTGACATTTATATAAATACAGAGGGTCACATATTCGTGTAATATAACATTATAATGATCCCCCGCCCCCCAATTAACCAGCCCAAAACTTTAAATAGACCTCAGCGTTCGACCTTGGACCGTTTAATGTTTGCGGGCTGACAGAGGAAAAAGTTAAAGAGGCAGAAATGTAAAAAATAATACAAGTGTTATTGTAAGACGAGTTACAGTTTACAGTGTAAAAGCTGCATATGCCTCCAGATTTCAAGAAAGACAGACTTGAGAAAAAATGTACTTAGATTTTAAGAAATTAAATGAGCCGCGTCATGACAAAACCAACATAATGGGTTTGCGACCAGCATGGATCCAGACCAGCCTGCGCATCCGCGCAGTCTGATCAGGATCCATGCTGTTCGCTTTTAGTTTCTCTATTTGTAATAGGGTTTGTAAGCGAACAGCATGGATCCTAATCAGACTGCGCGGATGCGCAGGCTGGTCTGGATCCATGCTGGTCGCAAACCCATTATGTTGGTTTTGTCATGACGTGGCTCAAATAAGGTTTAATACTCAAGTAATATTCAACATGTTAAGTGCGATTAATGACATTAATGAATATGAAGCATTTATCACCACATTGCTATAGCGTGACTGACGCAGTAAGAGCCATTTTTGCATATTTTGAACTCTTTTTTTGGTAATTTACGTGGATTGTAAGTGCCGTTTACAACGTGTAAATTACCTACTTTGTTAACTTCACTATGTATAATTTTAAATACATTTTCAAAATTTTCTTGAAGATCAGCATGAATAAAGAATCTTTAAAATAAAGAATTTTGCGTTTTTCAAGTTTGGTCATACTTCCCTGCTTAAAATTTTCCAGGGTAGGGACTTGTACACATTCACATGGGAGGGGGTTCGAAAGTATGAAGGTATCTGGAAAGAACAATTATAATGGGTACTGATCTTGGAGGGGGGAGAATGAATGGGATGTCAATTCTCTTAATTGTTTGTCTATTAGGGGGTCAAATGTAAGGGAGTAAGGGTGCAGGTATTATACACTGATAGTACCGGGAGTTAAATAAGAATCTGTTTGATAAAGATCTTCTAAAGCCGTGTAAAATTTAGATCTGCCATCAATTTAACGTTTCTGTATTGATAAGTGGAAGTAACAGCTACGAGAAATGTAGTGTATCCAGCGACGGTTACTTCCCCTGATCAGTAGAGGTACATGTAAAGGCGTTTTGTCACATTTGTTTATCAATTTTATAATAAATGTTTTATTTTTATAACATTTGTGACCCTCTATTATTGTCGAATCGCCATTAACCCGGTCAATCTTTTAAAATATACACTTATTATTTCAGATTGACATTGAAAAAATGAGCATAAGTAGAGGATATTGAATGAGTGTAGGTTCAATACTGAGTTGAATAAAATTATATAATATGAGAGACTCTGGCGAGCAAAATATTTTTTTATTCAACGAGTTCAATATGAACCTACATGAATATAATATTTTATTTAACACATACCAAAATTTAGACTGTTTAAAGAGCAAATGACTCGTTTTTCAGTGGTTACGGCATAGTATTTCGTGCGCACCACTTAATTATCTCGTGGCCACGACTTAGTAACTCGTGGCCAGACTTTGTTTCTCGTGCACACGGCTTAATTATCTAGTAACTCGTGGCCCTGACATAGTATCTCGTGCGCACCACTTAATTATCTCGTGCGCACGAGAAAAATAAAAAAACACACACGCATGTCACCTTTGTGCAACCGTACTAAGTACTACAAAAAGATGTTTAACTAAAATGTCATTGATCGTTAAGAAGGAGAAACACATACCAGTGTAATAGTATCTTATATCACATCATAATATATTTCCTTCTTGGGTTTAATATTGGTGGTTTTTGACAGATTTTTTTGTGGGAATTTTATTTTTTACCGATGCACAATCAATAATGCGATATCATATATACATGGTATATGTGTGTGTGTATTTTAAAAATTTACATGGGGAGTTGAGACATACGTTTAAAGCATGTAATACTTTCAGTAGTTATGTATGTTTACATTAGTTTATTGTTATACAGCCATTCTATTATCATTATGTTATCGTTATGATAACATTATTTCATCGTGAACTTTCCTAATATAGTCGTCTAGATATTATTTTTTCATCGTAACATTGTCATAATGTGATCTTCATGTTAACATAACGAGTACTTTATCGTTATATATTATCATTATGTTAACATTACGTATTATCATTATGTTAACATATCTTTATGTTAACAATACGAGTACTCTATCGTTATATTATCATTATGTTAACATATCTTTGTGTTAACATTACGAGTACTATATCGTTATATTATCATTTAGTTAACACATCTTTATGATAACATTACGAGTACCCTATCGTCATATTATCATAATGTTTACATATCTTTCTGTTAACATTATTTAATTATTATATTGTCGTTATCGTTATGTTATCGTAAATTATCATTTTGTTTACGTTATTTTATCGTTATATTAGTTTTATGGTATCATTATGGTAACATTACTTTAAATCGTTATATTGTCATAACTGTCTTATTATGATATGAGCCGCGTCACGGCAAAACCAACATAGTGCGTTTGCGACCAGCATGGATCCAGACCAGCCTGCGCATTATAGTGTTTGTAAGCGTACAGCATGGATCCTGATCAGACTGCGCGGATGCGCAGGCTGGTCTGGATCCATGCTGGTCGCAAACGCACAATGTTGGTTTTGTCATGACGCAGCTCATATCATGATGCAAACTTATATTTTATATTCTTATATTGTCATAAATTTATCGATATATAATTATCTCTATGAAACATCATGTTTTCATGTAAACATCGGTAAAGACTGTTAAGTCATCGGTGTAAAATTTATACTTCACTTTTACATTGTTGACAGTAGATAAAATATATTTTATATATTGCGTATGAAAATTTGTCAAGCGTCATTTATTTTTATCGTCGGAAAGAAATAATAAAATGTTTAGCGAATCCTAAAAGAGTGCTCATGAAAACACTTGAAATGTTATGTTTAAAAAACGCATACTAAATGTGAATATTGTTGATACATATTTTGCATGACTACACTCGAGGTTTTCTTTTAAGTACTTCAAGTACATGTATAAATTTCTCTAAATTTAACTCTCCGGGTAGTTAATATGTCAACGGCCTTGAAAATCCAGTAGTTGGTCTGACCAGTATCTACATGTTTACACTACATTGAATACAGAACATTTCACTAAAAGGTCACAAAAAATGTCGGATATTATGGAACGCCAAATACACATAAATATCATCCAAACACATTGAAATATCATTTCAAATATTTGCAGAGCATTAAATAATTTGAAGAGCTTTAAATCGATCATTTTGAGAGCGTTCCAATATGAATTTTCAGCCTGGAGTGTACTCATAGGTGGAATGTATCAGAGAAATTAAATTGAATTCATACTAGCATTTAGAAATCCATCTGAATAGGACGAAATGAATTAATTACAGTAAGTGAAATTACATTCTAATCACGTGCATATTAACGTTGGAATTAATTTAAAGAAGGATACAAAATTGTTTGTTCGTGTTATTAGCGTTATGCAGAGAGAGGTTGAAGCAGATATATGTGTATATATGTCATTTGAGTTGATGTAACATTTGCGTTCCATAGAAACATAAACACATTATATAATTATACTTTGATTCGCACAACGCTACAGTATTATTGGTTTTTAACTTAACCATTTAGTTTACTACTTTAAGCATGGATATAAAAAGTGCATTAGTAGATGGACTAACGTCTGAACCTAAATACATTCCAGTATGGTTTAGGTACGACAAACAAGGGTCGCTTTTTAATGACAAGTGTTTATCGGACAATAAATTTTACTATTTTTATCAGTCGGAAGTAAATGTTCTTTCATGTAGTGCGCAGGTAATGTTTTGTTTTTCTTTACACTCATTTTCGTTTCAGATATCCCCATAGCCACGGTTGTTAACGCATGACTGAATCCAGGGATCTTTAATGTTTTCCCACCATTTTAACAAGCATCTACAATCACGATCTCTCCATCTGTATCTTCAGAAATTACACGATATTTATTAAAGCAGGACACGTCAATTATTTTTTAAATTATTTTTATTACTATTATTATAATTATTATTATTATTATTATTATTTTCATTATCGTTATCGTTATCGTTATCGTTGTCGTTGTCGTTGTCGTTGTTGGTGTTGTTGTTGTTACTAGTATTAGTAGTAGTAGTGATGGTGGTGGTGGTAGTGGTGGTGGGTAGTGGTGGTAGTAGTGGTGGTGGTGGTAGTGGTAGTAGTAGTAGTAGTAGTGGTAGTGGTAGTGGTAGTGGTAGTGGTAGTGGTAGTAGTAGTAGTAGTAGTAGTTGTAGTAGCAGTAGTATTTAAAAGTACGTCGAACCAAGTATAGGTCATAATTATGGCACCCTTCCAGATTTACTGGTGGAGAAAGACTTCTGGTGCCCTTCCGTGCATTATTACAGGCATGAATGGGCACCTGAGTAGAACTTGAGTAGCACTGCCGACTGTAAGCTAGCTGGATAGCTTCCTCACATGAAAAAACCAAAACTCCTGTCAGAGTTCGAACCTACAGCGGTAAGTGGTTTAAAATCAACGCCCAATCACTCGGCCATAGACGCCCCTTCTCTGTAAGTAACGGAATACTATAATATTATAATGCTTTTAAAATGATCCTCACTTTAAAAACGTCACAAGGAATGTAATTATCTAAACATTTCTTTACTTTTCGTTATTTGAAAATTAGTTCCTTTATTTGCTGGCGAGCCGCTTTAATTGTGAATAGTTGTATGCATGATCGATTACATGAACATACACATGTGCTGTAGTAATCAATTGTTACAGTATCTCCCCCTGTATGCAACAGGTCTAGCATTATATAGATGGGCTGGCTATCTGTTGTTCAACTCATTACATTACGTTAACATGTTGTTGTTTTTTTGTTTGTTTGTTGTTGTTGTTGTTTTTATGCTATCAAGCTGATTATCAGATTCATGTAAAGCAGCCTGCACTACTTTAAGGAAATGGAAAAAAGAGCACGTGTAATCATTTAAATGACCAATGTCATAATTTCTTAAAAAAATATCAGATTATACTCAATATTAAGCCAAGCAATAAATTAAATGCTTATGTCTTTGATACAATGTCGTATTAAAATATTGATCAATAATTCGTTTATGAAATTATTGCATGATGACGCTCAACCAGTATATTTTTTTCAATAAATACATAACGAAGGAAAACGCAGCACCGCAAACAAATTTATTCATTTCTTGCCATGGCATCTATAAGTGCAGGCAATATCACTTTTAATGACTCTAGTATTTAATCGAGTAAGTGCAGAAAATACATCTTTTAATAAAATATAATATTTTATCAGTCTGTAAAAAACAACAAGGTCATTCGAATAGAATTTGAAAGACCCTGACATTAATCAAGAAGTATTTTTATCAACTAAATTCCAGAAAATTAAATTCTATATTATTTTTTTTTATTTTAACGAATCGCGGCATAACCAGACGTTTACTTTAATGCAAGAACAGCGTTAAACGACAATTCAACTCTCATACAAAATCCACGAATTTGAATTCAGTAGTTCCTGCTTATTTTTATTTTAACTTTTACCATAAACACATACTAGTATTACAGGGTTGTTACAAAGCCCTTATAAAAGTTCCATCTGGTCGCTCTTGTTACCTTATATTGATATAACGTTACTATTTTTATCAGGAAATTGTTGAGCAAGTAACGTCACCATGTGTATTAGTGGAAATGGGCAGCGGCAATTCCGAGAAATCTCGCACTTTTATAGACACAATTTTAAAAAGACAGAAAAGTTTGACCTATATTCCGGTGGATATATCTGCAGGTAAGAAGCCCGTTTATGAATACCAAGGTTGCGCATCAATCTGATTGGCTGGTTTTGGACATATTTCAACAACTGGCCAATTGCTCAACGCCATTTCAATATTCTGAATCCCGGCCCTGTCTATGGTTTAACTTGTTACTTGTGCAAAGATCTTTAATTTTGTCACCATTGTCCAAACTTTGTATCTGTTGCATTGTCTTTGATGGTATTTCCTGACCCATTTATTTACTTCTGCTGTTAAGTGACTAAGGATTAGAAATTATGCTATAAGCTCTAATTTCAGTTGGACAGTAACATTAAATTAAATTAAATATGAAAATAAAAGGATGGAACCGATTGGATGAAATATCGAAATAATCTTAGTCGGCCTTTTTTCTTCTGTATTTTATATTTTTAGAAAATATACAATTCTGTTTTACAGATTTTCTTCAAGAATGTAGCGACGCTTTATCTAAGGACTATGGTGATAAACTAGATGTCAGACCAATTGCTGGAGACTACAGCGTCGGTATTAAACAAATCAGGTTCGATTTACTTTAGAATAAGTTTTGCAATTTGAGCCGATTTTTTCTCGTGACTGTCATAAACAAATAAGGTTCGAAATTAAGTTCTGTAACTTGAGATGACTTTATTCTCCCTTGTTTGATCTGACGAATTTGCACATTTTTTTCATCGTAAATATAGGCTTAATTGCCGTCGAACAGTCGAGGGGGTGTAAATTTAATGTCGGGTTCATGTAGGTATTTCCGAACCTCATTTTGTTGAAATTTAAGAACAGCTCCATTGGCAATGTGCTTTTCTAACATCGATTCACCTTCCATTGTGAATCAAGTTCTTCCGAGATCGCTTCATGGAACTAACCAGTACTGGTGTCATGGTCGTGACCCCAGTGGGACTTGAACCTACGATCCCTGGGTTGAGAATCCGACACTTCACTAACTAATTAAGACATCGCTTACTTTTGTGTTAATGTACGTAGAAAATATGACCTGGTCATTATTAGTTTCAAAGAAAGTAGATGTAATACGTGCTATGTAAGACAGTGATCTCGGAGCATGTCACGAGCAATGACCTTGAGCAGTGTCTTTGAAGCTCAATGGTGACCTATTCTTATCATATATCTTGAAATTAATTACAATGCTCTTTGTGTACATTATCATTGACATTCCTCGTGTTCATTATCATTCAAGCTTATTGTGTCCGTTGTCACTGAAGTCCCATTTGTCTGTTATCATTCAAGCTCATTGTGTCTGTCATCATTCAAGCCCATTGTGTCTGTTATCATTCAAGCTCATTGTGTCTGTTATCATTCAAGCTTATTGTGTCCGTTGTCACTGAAGTCCCATTGTGTCCGTTGTCACTGAAGTCCCATTTGTCTGTTATCATTCAAGCTCCTTGTGCCTGTTATCATTCAATCTCATTTGCTTGTTATCATTAAAACTCCTTTTGTTCGCTATCATTAAGTTTCATTCGCCTATTATCATTCAAGCTCCTTGTGGCCATTGTAAGTGAAATCCCATCTGTCAGTTATCATTCAATTTAATTGTGTCCGTTATCATTCAACCGTCTTGTGTCCGTTGTCACTGAAGTCCCATTTGTCCGTTGTCATTTAGGCTCCTTGCGTCTGTTATCATTCAAGTTACTTGTGTTAGTTATCATTCAATTTTATTGTGTCTGTTATCATGCAACCATCATGTGTTCGTTATCACTGAATACACATTTGTACGTTACCATTCAAGCGCATTGTGTCAGTTGTCATTTTTAAGTTCCTTGTGTCTGTTGGCACTCAGTTTTATTGCTTGTTTTAGTTTTATTTGTTCGTTATCATTCAAACTTCATGTACCTGTTATCATTCAATATATCTGTGTCTGTTATCATTCAATATCTCCGTGTCTGTTATCATTGAATCTTCTTGTGCCTGTTATTATTCCTCCACCCTACTACGTTTGTCAATTTTCACTGTTCAAAGTATTATTTGTCTGTTATAAGTTAAACTCCTTTTGGCCGTTATCATTTAAAACTATAAATTAATTGCATGTATATAATATGTTTCATTCATCATTGTTTTCAGTTCGATCCCTGGGCGTAAACTTATTGTTTGGCTAGGTGGGGGCTTTCAGAATCAGCCTTACAATGTTCAAGTAGAAAGAATTCGTAGTCTTTCTCAATGCATGTCAGGTAGGTTTCACACTAACTGATTTTCTTCTGTGATCCCCCGATGTCCGTTATCTAAACAGGTATACCCTTTCCGATACATGTACATTTAATAGGATTATAAATACATGTATATAGTAATTTTCCTCTGTTTTTTCACGGTTGTAGAAATGTGACATTGCCCATTACAATATTCAGAACAAGGTCAAAAATAAGGACATGCTTGTAACCGTATACCCATAAATGCACAGTCGCATTGATTTGACCTAAAATAGGTTTAATCTTATTTGTACTATATAATATCTATATACATGTATTAAAAAAGAATAGAAAAGGAACAAAATCTGATTTCTTGTTGCATTGGTATATGTATATAACAATATAATAAAAGATTGTTAACTTTTATTCCTAACTGCGGTTTAAAGTAAATTTTCGTCTTTTAATAATATGGGCCTAAGCTAAATATTTCGGTTGATATTTTCATCATATGCGTGCCAGTATAATTCTACATTAAATTTGTTTGTCAAATATTCAAAATACCAGACTGTCTAAGCACAAAAACAATTTTACAATAGTAACATACTTGTCAAAATAATGGTACCTTTTTACTTTCTATATCTTATTTATATGGTGGCTGATTTGTGCCATTCGTGTTTTCGCACCGCGAAAAGTCGAGAATGGCGGGGGCACGGAGCTTAAACACGCTTATGAGCGGGGAGGGGACTTCGCCTCGCGGGGTTCCGGAGCGAGATTTAAGAAAAATAAAAAATGCCAATTAGCGAGGACGCAGGGCGAAGTTTTTCTTATTAAATTTTACCCCGCATCCCCGCCAATAAGCGTTTCCCCCCTCCGCCGTTTTATATCTTATATCTCGCTCCGCGCCCTCGCTGGGCGACGTTTTATTTATTAAACTTCGCTCCGCGTCCCCGCTGATAAGCGTGTTTTCGCTCCGCGCCCCTGTTAGGAAGCGTGGTTTCGCTCCGCGTCCCCGCCGTTTTATTACTTAAATCTCGCCCCGCGACTCCGCGGGGAGTGATTTTATTTATTAAACTTCGCCTCGTGCGTGTATTCCCTCCGCTCCCGCTCCCCCCACCCCTCCGCAATTTTAACTTGTCAATTCTCGACTTTTCGCTTGGCGGGGTCGCAGTGCGAAAACACAAATGGCACAAATCTGCCACCACATGTTTGTCTAGTAAGTGTTCAACCTTTTTCATTTAACTTTGGGAAGGTCATTTGGTGCTTCAAACGTGCAATATCTGAAATTTAAGAAGTCAGCTATTTATTTAAAAAACAAGCTATGTTTGTAAAACACGTATGCCCCTCTATCGGCAGCCAATTAGTCATGTCATCAGGTTATTACGACTGACTTTTGACCTAGTGACCAAAAAATAATTTAGGGTTAATTACTGGTCATGACTAATCACTAGGTAATTATGACAACAAAGGTTGTGTGCAGCAATTTTATGACAAAGTTATTTCAAATATACCAAATAATATATTATGCATAAATTTCATGAATCATGTAGGTCTCATTAATGACAGCCAAGTTGTTGTATTACATATGACCTTAAAATATGTATACCAAAAGGATTTTTAGTTTAATAAAAAAATATCAACCAAGGCAACTTGAGTTGTTGAGTTATTGGTCAGAAACAGTCTTTACATACAAGGCCAATATGTTATTGACCTTTGACCCTTAAATCAATAGGGGTTACCTACTGGCCAAGACCAATGCACCTGTGAAGTTTGAAGGTAAAGGGCCCATGAGTTGGGATATTGATCAGAAAGCGTTGTTACCTATAAGGTCTATGTGATCTTGACCCCTGACCCGTTAACGCCAAAAATCCATTGAGGTCATCTTCTGACCAAATGCAATTCATTTGTAAAGCTTGAAGGTCAAGGGTCAATGGGTTGTCCAGTTATTGATACAAAACCATTTTGAAATACAAGGTCAATGCAACCTTGACCTTTGACCCTGACCCCAAAATCAATAGGGGTCATCTACTGGCCAAGACCAATGCAACTACATGTACAAAATTTGAGGGCCACCAGCCCATTGCTTGTCAATTTAATAACCGGAAACGATTTTTACCTACAAGGTCAATGTAACCGTGATCTTTGACGCTTTGACCCCAAAATCAATAGGGGTAATCAACTCGTCAAGTCCAATTCATCTACCAAATTTGAGGGCCAACAGTCCATGGGTTGTCAAGTTATTGATCGGAAACCGTTTTTATCTACAAGGTCAATGTGACCTTGACCTTTGACCCCTTGACCCCAAAATCAACAGGGGTAATCTTCTGGTCATGAACAATCATCATACCAAGTTTGAAGTTCCTAGGCCTAAATGTTCTTTAGTTATTGATCGGAAACCGTTTTTACCTACAAGGTCAATGTGACCTTGACCTTTGACCCATTGACCCCAAAATCAATAAGGGTCATCTGCTGGTCATGAACAATCATCAAACCAAGTTTGAAGTTCCTAGGCCTAAATGTTCTTTAGTTTTGATCAGAAACCGTATTTACCTACAAGGTCAATGTGACCTTGATCTTTGACCCATTGACCCCAAAGTCAATAGGGTCATCTGCTGGTCATGAACAATCACCATACCACGTTTGGAGTTCCTAGGCCGAAGCGTTTTTTAGTTATCACTCGGAAACTGTTTTACCTAATAGGCTAATATGACCTTGAACTTTGATCCCTTGACCCCAAAATCAATAGGGTTCATCTGCTGGTCATGAACAATTATCATAACCCGTTTAAAGTTCCTAGGCCTAAGCGTTCTTTAGTTATCACTCGGAAACCGTTTTTACCTACAAGGTCAATGTGACCTTGACCTTTGACACTTTGACCCCAAAATCAATAGGGGTCATCTACTGGTCATGAATAATCACCATACCAAGTTTGAAGTTCTTAGTCCTTAGCGTAATTTAGTTAACACTCGGAAACCATTTGGTCTACAGACCGACGGACCGACAGACCGACGGACCAACCGACAGACAAATGCAAAGCAATATACTAGTACCCCCACTTCTTTAAAGGGGGCATAACAACAACAAAAAACAAACATACCTCCACAAAATGGTGATCTAAGTTCGATTTCCGCCTTATTAACACATAACTACTTAATGTTTAAGCCGAGATCTGGATAACTAATAGTCTAGAACCATAGGGTCCATTTAGCAGATTCTTGAATGAGAAATCGTTGACATGCACAGGGTCTCAGAAATGCTATCATTTCATTTCTCAAAAACTTCTCTTTTTTTTTTGGGGGGGGGGGGGGGGAATGAGGGTATATTGTTACAGTATCCAAAAATTACTCATTTTTCATACAGATGAACAATCTTTTTGCTTTGATGGCAATCGCTTTAATTATGGTAAATTGGTATTTTGTATGGAAGTCAAAATACTATTTTGTTTACATTCTGCTACCTTTACGACAGATAACTGAAAATTCATCGCTACTTTTGTCAGTATTTAAACATGTAACATGTTGTTAATCTATTGTTAAACATTATTCAACATATGTTTGATATTACACATATTGATATAAATATGGATTTCTGGGGCATAATGCCTTTAAAATCATAGTTGTAGATTGAATAACCAATAAAAAAAAATATGTTATTCGGAAAATAGATGAGCCTCAATATTCATGCTAATTTTCATTAAAATTTTGAAAATGTATTTAAAAATAATATATTGTGTAATGAACAAAAACGTTATTAACACGTTGCACGGCACTGACAAACCATTTAAATTACCTAAAAGACGTCAAAATATGCAAAAGCTACAGGATACCGTTAGGTAAATACCGCAAAAAATCAGACATTAATCGCACATAGCATGTAAAATTTCTCTTGATACTTGAATCGTTTTCACTTTTTTAAAAAAAAAAATCTTAGTATGATTTTATAAACTTTGATTATTTCTTGAACTCATCTCTAAGCATTTGAAATATAACGCCGGATATTCAAGTTGTTTTCCCTATAAATACAGGATTTATTTTCAACGAGTGGTGAGACAATAAATATTGCACGTGTTGCGGTTGCCACGAGTGAAAATGTGATAACTTTCATACTTCAAAATGAAAATAAATCCTATATCTGTAAAAAAACTTGAATTTTCTGAGTATAATGTATTATATACATTTTTCATTCTTTTTAACATTACAACATGAAAGACTTCCCCCTAAATTGTGTGTATTGACTGAATTTAAAAGAAAGTAGTCCGGTAATTAATACATCATTGAAAATACGATTGCAGTGCAAAATAAATTTTACAGTAAAAATAGAAAAAAATGAAAATTCAAATTTTATTTCATCAATATTTCTCAAATATTTCATTTATAAGTATATAATAATAACAGTATACTACCAAAAACATGTGCATGAAAATGTATTCTTGTCGAACGCGATACTGTTGACCTCTTTTTTGAGTATATTGAAGTACATGTAAAGGCTGCATGAAATATACACGTAGTTATAACTTAATTCAGAGCAGGAAAATCTCTATATATTAGGTAAATAACATAAAATGATATAGCACATTTTTAGTAATAGTTATAAAGAAAGTTAACAGTATTTTAACAGCTAAAAGGAGGGACAGATAAGCGACCAACGAGTTCTATTTTTTGTTCACCCGAGCACACACTGCTTAGATGAGCTTATTTGATAGCAGTGTGTTCTCTAGTCGTCCAGTTCTTTAAATGGTAGTCCTTAAAAAATCCTTTAAATATTATCCATTAAACCACACTGTAGATTTTGATAAAACTTCATAGGAAAGATTATTAGATAACCATCTTCAAAAATTGTAAAATGGTTATTGTCTGATGCCTGAGAAGGTTAACAAGAGCTAAAAATATACTTTAAATTAAAAAAAAAGACATTATCCTTAGAAGCGAAAATGAGTACAGCTTAGCAGTTTTGCATGTAGCATCACCTTGTGGTTCTTTTATACAAAAGAGTTATAACAATCATGCATATTGGCCTCTAAGGGATCACCAAGTTTACATAGACCTGTAGAAAAACACATCTAATTATTTTTAAAACTGCAATTTCATAGCTTAGATATTGTACATGTAGAATCCCCTGTGGTCATTAAGTAAAGTTTCATTATCCATGCACCTTGGGAGATAGATACTCTTGTTTGGCTTATTAATTAACCAAAATTTTCCAAATACAGTAAATTGTTGGGAACTTGACATATACCAGGCACATGTTATATATTTAACCCTTACCAAGCTAAATATCTAAAATGAACTCGTCAATTGTTTTTAGGAATAATTTCGAAATAAGTGCTGACTAAATAGCGAACAGTGCAGACCATGAGCAGACGACACAGATGTACTGGCTGATACTGGTCTGTACTGATTGCATGGATAGAATCCGTTGGCTTGTAGCAAGCAAAAGCTTAGTGAAATTGTAACGGTTAAATCCAATAGAAATCTTAAGTCCAATTCATTTAGAAAACTATCATATTTATGATTTTAGAAGACGACCGGTTGCTGATTGCTCTGGACATTACACAAGATGCTACTGCAGTGGAAAATGCATATTTAGATCCAACAGGTATTGTTACTCTATTGTTATACGATGTGGTTTGTGTGAAGGCCTTGGAGGGCCATTTTTGAGTTTCGACTTACGGGTGTTTTACATAGTTATATCATTTGGCGTATGACTTAAAACTCGCGTATTTGTGTCACGTGCATGGTTCATCCTCTTCGAACATCTTAATGGCGGACCAGGAAGGTCCAGACGAGGTAAGTTCCTTACGTCTTAGTTTTTAACCTGGGTCCCTGCATTAGTAAAATAATTGAAAACAGAATATATGAGCCGCGTCATGACAAAACCAACATAATGGGTTTTCGACCAGCATGGATTCAGATCAGCCTGCGCATCCGCGCAGTATGATCAGGATCTATGCTGTTCGCTTACCAACCCTATTACAAGTAGAGAAACTGATAGCGAACAGCATGGATCCTGATCAGACTACGCGGATGTGCAGGGTGGTCTGGATCCATGCTGGTCGCAAACGCACTATGTTGGTTTTGTCGTGACGCGGCTCATATAAACAAACGTCTGCGAACAGTACGTTTATAATTTGCAATTTGCACTTTATCCAGAAAAAGTCGAAAACATTGTGTTTGCATGGCACCGTTTAAGCAAAATACCGGCACAAATGTTGTTATGATTTTATTCCTGATCAATGAAATGTATCAGAAAGGAACACTTCGGATCCTTTCCCATAATGCTATTCGGGTAATGTTATGTCATTTCAAAAATACAGAAATCCTTTCTTGATAAAAATAATAATAATAATAATAACAAGATATGTTTGTAAAACATGTATGCCCCCTATCAGCAGCCAATTAGTCATGTGATAAGGTTATTATGCATGACTTCTGACCCAGTGATCAAACAATTAATAAGGGTTATAAAGTATCTACTGGTCATGACCTTGACCTTTGACCCCTTGACCCAAAACTCAATAGGGGTCATCTGCTGGTCACGACCAATCATCATACAAAGTTTGAAGTTCCTAGGCCTAGGCGTTTTTAGTAAATTGATCAGAAACCGTTTTTACCTGAAAGGTCAATGTGACCTTGACCTTTGACCCCTTGACCCCAAAATCAATAGGGGTCATCTGCTGGTCATGACCAATCACCATGCCAAGTTTGAAGTTCTTAGGCCTAAGGGTTCTCTTATTATTGATCGGAAACCGTTTTAACATACAAGGTCAATGTGACCTTGACCTTTGACCCCAAAATCAATAGGGGTCATCTGCTGGTCATGACCAATCACCATGCCAAGTTTGAAGTTTCTAGGCCGAAGCGTTCTTTAGTTATTGATCAGAAACCGTTTTTACTTACAAGGTCATTGTGACCTTGACCTTTGACCCCTTGATCCCAAAATCAATAGGAGTAATCTGCTGGTCATGACAAATCACCATACCAAGTTTGAAGTTCCTAGGCCTAAGGGTTCTTTAGTTATTGATCGGAAACCGTTTTTACCTAAGAGGTCAATGTGACCTTGACCTTTGACCCCTTGACCCCAAAATCAATAGGGGTCATCTACTGATCATGACCAATCACCATACCAAGTTTGATGTTCCTAAGCCTTAAGGTTCTTTAGGTATTGATCGGAAACCGTTTTTACCTACAAGGTCAATGTGACCTTGACCTTTGACCCCTTGACCCCAAAATCAATAGGGGTCATCTACTGATCATGACCAATCACCATACCAAGTTTGAAGTTCCTAGGCCTTAAGGTTCTTTAGTTATTGATCAGAAACCGTTTTTGCTTACAAGGTCAATGTGACCTTGACCTTTGACCCCTTGACCCCAAAATCAATAGGGGTCATCTACTGGTCATGACCAATCACCATACCAAGTTTGAAGTTCCTAGGCCTTAAGGTTCTTTAGTTATTGATCGGAAACCGTTTTTGCTTTCAAGGTCAATGTGACCTTAACCTTTGACCCCTTGACCCCAAAATCAATAGGGGTCATCTACTGGTCATGACCAATCACCATACAAAGTTTGAAGTTCCTAGGCCTTAAGGTTCTTTAGTTATTGATCGGAAACTGTTTTTGCTTTCAAGGTCAATGTGACCTTGACCTTTGACCCCTTGACTCCAAAATCAATAGGGGTCATCTACTGGTCATGACCAATCACCATACCAAGTTTGAAGTTCCTAGGCCTTAAGGTTCTTTAGTTATTGATCGGAAACCGTTTTTGCTTTCAAGGTCAATGTGACCTTGACCTTTGACCCCTTGACCCCAAAATCAATAGGGGTCATCTACTGGTCATGACCAATCACCATACAAGTTTGAAGTTCCTAGGCCTTAAGGTTCTTTAGTTATTGATCGGAAACCGTTTTTGCTTTCAAGGTCAATGTGACCTTGACCTTTCACCCCTTGACTCCAAAATCAATAGGGGTCATCTACTGGTCATGACCAATCACCATACCAAGTTTGAAGTTCCTAGGCCTTAAGGTTCTTTAGTTATTGATCGGAAACCGTTTTTTGCTTTCAAGGTCAATGTGACCTTGACCTTTGACCCCTTGACCCCAAAATCAATAGGGGTCATCTACTGGTCATGACCAATCACCATACCAAGTTTGAAGTTCCTAGGCCTTAAGGTTCTTTAGTTATTGATCGGAAACCGTTTTTGCTTTCAAGGTCAATGTGACCTTGACCTTTCACCCCTTGACCCCAAAATCAATAGGGTCATCTACTGGTCATGATCAATCACCATACCAAGTTTGAAGTTCCTAGGCCTTAAGGTTCTTTAGTTATTGATCGGAAACCGTTTTTGCTTTCAAGGTCAATGTGACCTTGACCTTTGACCCCTTGACCCCAAAATCAATAGGGGTCATCTACTGGTCATGACCAATCACCATACCAAGTTTGAAGTTCCTAGGCCTAAGGGTTCTTTAGTTATTGATCGAAAACCGTTTTTGCTTTCAAGGTCAATGTGACCTTGACCTTTGACCCCTTGACCCCAAAATCAATAGGGGTCATCTACTGGTCATGACCAATCACCATACCAAGTTTGAAGTTCCTAGGCCTTAAGGTTCTTTAGTTATTGATCGGAAACCGTTTTTGCTTTCAAGGTCAATGTGACCTTGACCTTTGACCCCTTGACCCCAAAATCAATAGGGGTCATCTACTGGTCATGACCAATCACCATACCAAGTTTGAAGTTCCTAGGCCTAAGGGTTCTTTAGTTATTGATCGGAAACCGTTTTTGCTTTCAAGGTCAATGTGACCTTGACCTTTGACCCCTTGACCCCAAAATCAATAGGGGTCATCTACTGGTCATGACCAATCACCATACAAAGTTTGAAGTTCCTAGGCCTAAGGGTTCTTTAGTTATCACTCGGAAACCATTTGGTCTACGGACCGACGGACCGACGGATCGACGGACCGACGGACCGACAAGTGCAAAGCAATATACCCCCTTTTTTTCAAAATGGGGGCATAATAATAATAATAATAATAATGTATAATTTGTTGTTGTTTTTCTACTGGCGCTGATTTATGTAGTTTGAAAAATATAATCTTCGTTTATGTATCTCTTTAGGATGCAGCAAAACTTGAAAAAGGGAAAGCTGTCAAACTAAAACATACTGAAAGGCGTAATTACTTCTGACATAGTGCCTTTAGACAAATTGCAACCAGATGAGTTTCGGGCTTTCGGGAGATAGGATTTAATTGAAAGGAGCCTCAATAAATTAAGCAAACTTCAATTTTCTAAATGGAAGGATTTAATGATTTTAACTAAAAATGCTGTATTGCAGAAAAAAATCTGCAAAAAAAGATGGAAAATCGTGTATATTTGCAGAATAATTTAAAGATGAGATAGATTTATCGGCATAAATTCGACTCGAAGTGAATGGTCGTGTTGGCACCGTTACATATGCGAGGACTCTTACACAATGTCGATGACGCCATCATTTTGTCGATGGCTCGATAACACTTGAATAAATGTTAGTATTTGATTTTTAACACAGCTCTTTAAAGTTGAGCCATAGTTGGGGCAATGTTACATGCACGAGTTAGTGGATAAACTTTAATTCCATCTCAAGATGTGTCTTCTGGAGAACGAAAACACACAGTTCATTTTTGATGAAAGTTCTACGGGATTTTTCTTATCGAAGCTGCATCCAAAATGATGAGAAAGAAATGTACTACGTGGCATAACATTCTTCGACATTTGAAGAAAAGGAAACAAGCAAGAAATGAATATTTTTAGAAACTGTGTTTACCCTTCTTCAGCTTTCTTTTAGTCGAGACCTCTACAACGGAAGTGTCGATAGCTCTCGTTTATGCAGATCACCAAAATGTGAAAGAGCCACCGTTTAGTAGGGTTGAACCTACCCTAGTTATCATCAAAATAAACATATTAATCAAGTTTGATGTAATGATGAAGACATGACCGATATATTGAGATAATAACGTCTACATTTGACTTCAACAGAATCAGATTGCATATTTACATCTAGATATTCTTGAGATAACATATTTGATCAAGATTTGATGAAGGTTCAGTGTCACACATCCGCGCAGTCTGATCAGGATCCATGCCATTCGCTTACAAACCATATAGCAAATAGAGACAAAACGGATAGCGAACAGATAGCGGATGCGTACGCTGGTCTGGATCCATGCTGGTCGCAAACCCATTATGTTGGTTTTGTCATGGCGCGGCTTAAATATACAAACTGGGAATACGGTTCTAATCTTCAAACAAATGCTAAACATTGACAATCTGTTTTGAACTCTACATATATAAAGGTAGAAAAAAATATTTTGGATAAAAAAATAACATTTTATCGACCTACCTACCCTACCAAAACAAATATGATTTTAAATTTTGCCTTGCGCAATATTTATTTGCCACATCCTTAAAAAAACCAAATGGGAAAACTTTCAAAAGATCTTTTCTTGTTTAAAATTATAAAGATTTGTTTCTACACTTATCTATATATTTAAAGCAATTTATTATTAGCGTACGCACGTGCATTGTTAGTACTAAGAATATAAAATGATTTATCAATTCTCGAAATTATATTGTGCCAGGCTCAGTATAGTCTTCGGGTTGAATTAGCGTCCAATAGCACGTCCGGCTTAAACTTTGAATCTCTGACTGTGTCTTATTTACGCAAATACATGTCTTTAATAACATTTATTTCGCTGTAGTTAATTGTATTTTAGGTACTTCGGTATATAGTAGCTTGGTCAATACCGAGCAATACAGAACACAACCCATATTTTTCAGTCTTGTCTGTAATGTTCTTGTTAAAGATTCAATCCACTGAAATTTAGAGCTTCTGCTTTGTACAATTATGGTGGAAAACCTGAAATATATATATATACACACACTTCATACATGTTTTTTTTATAAATAGTTTGGTCCGTATTCTATGAGAATTGTTATCATTGTGTTTCAAGTCTTACGATGATACATACCCTCCAATATTTCCACTTCACAAACATCCTCTTCCCCGTCATAACCCGTGACGATAAATATGTGCGATACAAGAATAATAAAAATCATTTTTATTTACAGCGTATTTAAAATCATTTAACTTCAGCACTTAAAACACGTGTGTAATGCTTAGCTTTAGCCAAATTCGAAAGTCTAAAGTAAGTCGAAAGTAAAAATAAAAATAAAAAAAACACCCGAATGTCGAAATTTAAAAGGGCTATCCGGGCTTCAAGTGTTTAGTGAATAATGTTCATGTTGTAAGTAATGATCAGTGAGTAATGTTCATGTTGTAAGTAATCATCAGTGAGTAATGTTCATGTTGTAAGTAATCATCAGTGAGTAATGCTCATGTTGTAAGTAATCATCAGTGAGTAATGTTCATGTTATAAGTAATCATCGGTGAGTAATGTTCATGTTGTAAGTAATCATCGGTGAGTTATGTTCATGTTGTAAGAAATCATCGGTGAGTAATGTTCATGTTGTAAGTAATCATCGGTTAGTAATGTTTCAAGTTGTAAGTAATCATCGGTGAGTAATGTTCATGTTGTAAGTAATCATCAGTGAGTAATGTTCATGTTGTAAGTAATCATCGTTGAGTAATGTTCATGTTGTAAGTTATCATAAGTGAGTAATGTTCATGTTGTAAGTTATTATCAGTGAGTAATGTTCATGTTATAAGTAATCATCAGTGAGTAATGTTCATGTTGTAAGTAATCATCAGTGAGTAATGTTCATGTTGTAAGTAATCATCAGTGAGTAATGTTCATGTTGTAATTAATCATCAGTGAGTAATTTTCATGTTGTAAGTAATCATCAGTGAGTAATTTTCATGTTGTAAGTAATCATCAGTGAGTAATTTTCATGTTGTAAGTAATCATCAGTGAGTAATGTTCATGTTGTTCGTAGTGATAAGAGAGTATTGTAGTGCCTTGTGATCGATATTCATGGTGTGAGTTATACTCCTGTTGTTATTAGTGACAAATCAGTAATTCACATGATGTGAGTAGTGCTCAGCGAGTAATGTTCATGTTCATGAGTAGTAATAAATGAATAATGTTCATGATGTGGGGTCGGGGGTGTTATTTGTATTATTGGCAAAATTACAGATGAAATTAAAAAAATTTAAACCGTTAAATTTTAACATAACTTGGACATTTCTCATTATGTCTCAGAGCATTCAAATTTTAATTATCTTACTCAGCTAGAAGTTAAGTTATACTCTACTTTAATAAAAATATGAACACATAATTGAGCCATGTCACGACAAAACCAACATAATGGGTTTGCGACCAGCATGGATCCAGACCAGCCTGCGCATCCGCGCAGTCTGATCAGGATCCATGCTGTTCGCTATCAGTTTCTTTACTTGTTATAGGGTCTGTAAGCGAACAGCATGGATCCTGATCAGACTGCGCGGATGCGCAGGCTGGTCTGGATCCATGCTGGTCGCAAACTCATTATGTTGGTTTTGTCGTGACGCGGCTCATATGCTTATTAAAAAAGACGTTTTTTCTTCTTTTTTTCCCTTTTAAATCAGGAGTTGCGGCACCTTTATATCTGAATGCAATATGGCGACTAAATAGAGAATATGGGGCTGATATAGACACGGACAAGTTCAGACTAGAGGCCAAATTCGAAAAGAGCTCAGAGGATGATCGCTTGAGTCTACTTGTATTGAAAGCTGTTTCAAAATGTGATCAGCAATACAACATAGGTATGTTTATATCTTACTCAAGCTATTCTACAAGAAAAGCATTCATGCAAAGCATCAAAGGGCATCCAAGCAAGAAATGAAGCAAGTGAAGATTAACTAATAGACATTTGATGACCAGATATTCTTATAAACTTTTTAATGGTTACTAGTAATTGGTTTTTACCACAATTGTATAATACTGTATTTGAATGGCCGGACGAAAGACATAATATGTTTGCATTTCATTTCCTACAAAATTCTCCAGTTCGTTATTTATTACCCTAGCGTGACACGAATGACCGTTTCGTTAAACTAAAACTTCTTCTATAAATAGATTTTCGGACATTCACAATTTTAATGTCATCATTCTATTTATAGGTACAGCAATACATAATAACCCACTGTGTACTAATAAAAAAAACAAGAAGATTAATTGACGGATAAGATAATTTCATTTGAATACGTTTGCATTGCGAAATTCTCCAGTTCGTTATTCATTGTACATATCGCGACATTTCATTTTTGATAATCAAACAGCCTCATACCAATCAGAATGATCGGCTGTTATGACCGACGAAAAGGCCGGAAAAGTTGCAATTGCCCTTTCTCATTCCATAAGGGGCGTCGCGCTTCGGCGGGGACGCCAATAACTAACTCACAGATCAATTTAAGGTAGTACACCCCTAATGGGCACTATAAAATGTCCATTCAATGTTTAATGTCCCATTATGCCTCATTAATTCTATCATTTCTATCTTTCAACAGCTTTTGTTTTGAATCTTGTTACAATTTTAAAAACAAAGACTCGTTTACCATACACATAATTTCCTTCTTTTGCTCTAGTGAATAAGTTTCTTGTATGGAAGTCATAATACTAGTTTGTTTACAATTTGCTTATTTACCAAAGATTACTGGAATCTATGCATGCATTCTTGACTCTTTATTAATAGAAGAGCAATTTTAGAAATTTGTTCCAAATTCAAGTGGAAATAGTCAATTTGAATATTTCACAAATTGAGAAATGTGTGGATTAAACAAAATTGCTTTTAATTGTATATATTTTGCATATATATTTTGCAATTGCATACTTATATTGCATGTTTTATATATATTTGTCTATATATTTTGCAAATTGCATATTATTATTTATTTCAGGCGGTTTAGGTATTAATGTTAGCCTTTAAAGCTGGAGAGTATCTACGGTTCGCACGAGGCGGAGGCTGTCAGCTGTAAATATTCCGAGTCTCAGATACGTACTCTAACCAGAAAGGTGGACAGAAATCTTCTTACAAATGTGGACAGACAGTGACAACCACGTTGCATTATATGTTTTAATTGGAAAAGTAAAATCATCGTTAATGATTTATATCAGTGTTTCATTTTAAGTTGCGCATGCGGTGTGTGTGCGGACGCGAGCGTGTGCGTGTGTGTTTTTTGTTTGTTTGTATGTTTTTGTTTTTTTTTGGTCACACTATGCAGAATGCAAAAAGGCCAAATTGTTGTCTCTGTCGGATGAAGAACTCTTATCTATGCATTATATTTCACGACGTTTCCATAAGCTAAACTGAATAACCGTCTCTCACATGTAAAAGAAGTCCATAGCGGTCGAGGGCCAAGTGGTTTCAGGTCAACGACGAATAATCACTCGACTACCGCACCCCCAGGCCTCCGCATCTAAGTTGTGTTTATAAGCTTTAAACTACGTGTTAAAAGTAATCAGGGAGAATTATTAAATTCAGTTTTTTATACATTTAGATTTATTTTTCGAAAGGAGAAGGTAGGTTGCGTAACAATTACAAATTTTGAATAATTTAATTCAATTAAAAGCGGTGCGACATTAATTGTAAATGAAATCTGTGTACAAAATATTCCCTTTTCATTATTTATAAATGCATCTAGTTTATTTTGATAATGTTAATTTATATATTTACATGTATAAAGTAATATTTTTTCAACTCTCATAGATCCAACTTGAATGTATAATATACGAGTATTTTATATGGGAATAAAAAGGCTTCGCAGGTTTCTAGCATTTATGTTGAATGTGCAAGAAAGGGTTGTCACATGCTTAGGCAAAAGCTTTAACGGAAGGGGACAAGCTTTTACAGGTTGGGAGTAAATCAAATTGATGGTGACAAAGTGTTCATTAGGTCGGACTTAACTTCGCTGGCGGTGAACAAGCTTAATTTTAAAGAGTACGGGCTTCACAACGTAGGAATGATCGAGCTTCACTTGGTGGAACGAATGAGAGCTCACTTTTTAGGACGGGCTTCACTGGTGGGGATAAGGCGTTATTTGTTGGAGACGAGCTTCACATGATGGGGAAAACTTCACTGCTTGCTGTACGAGCTTCACTGGTGGTGACGTGCTTCACTGGTGCGGAACAAGCTTATTGTGTGTGAAAGAAGATTCACTAGTGGGGCGAGCTTCAACTTTGGTGGACCAGCTTTCACTGGTGTTGACGTGCCGAGCTTCACCCGTAGGAACAATATTCATAAGTGGGACGAGGCTTCACAGGTGGGAACAAGATTCACTAGTTGGGGCGAGCTTCTTCTGTGGAAACAAGATTCAACAAGATTGGGACGAGCTTCACTGGTGGGAACAAGATTCACTAGTTAGGATGAAGCTTCACTGAATGGCGAACAAGAGTTCACAAGTTGGATGAGCTTCACTGGATGGAACAAGAGATTACTAGTTGGAACGAGCTTCACTGGTGGAACAAGATTCATTGGTGGGAACAAGCTACACTGTTGGAAAAAGATTCACTAGTTGACGAGCTTCACAGGATGGGAACAAGATTCACTAGTTGGGCACAAGTTTCAACTGGTGGGAACAAGACTCAATAGTTGGGGCGAGCTTCACTGGTGGAACAAGACTTCACCAGTTGAGACAAGTTTCTCTGGTGGGAACAAGATTCAACTAGTTGGGGCGAGCTTCACTAGTGGGAAACAAAATTCACCAGTTGAGACAAGTTTTCTCTGGTGGGAACAAGATTCACTAGTTGGGACGAGCTTCACGGTAGGAACAAGATTCACTAGTTGGACGAGACTTCACTGGTGGGAACAAGATTCACTAGTTGGGATGAGCTTTACTGGTAGGAACAAGATTCACTAGTTGGGATGAGCTTCACTGGTAGGAACAAGATTTACTAGTTTGGGAATGAGCTTCACTGATGGGAACAAGATTTACTAGTTGGAACGACTTCACTGGTAGGAACAAGATTCATGGTGGGAACAAGCTACACTGTTGGAAAAAGATTCACTAGTTGGACGAGCTTCACAGTTGGAACAAGATTCACTAGTTGGGACAAGTTTCACATGGGGGAACAAGACTAAATAGTTGGGCGAGCTTCACTGGTGGGAACAAGATTCACCAGTTGAGACAAGTTTCTCTGGTGGAACAAGATTCATAGTGGGACGTGCTTCACTGGTAGGAACAAGATTCACTAATTGGGATGAGCTTCACTGTAGGAACAAGATTTACAAAATTTACAAAAAAAGAAAAAAGATTTCATTAGGTGGAAACAAGATTACTAGTTGGAACAGAGATTCACTAGTGGGATCAAGATTCATTGGTGGGACAAGATTTTACTGGTGGGAACAAGATTCACTACTGGGACGAGCTTCACTAGTGGGATCAAGATTCACTGGTAGGAACAAGATTTACTAGTTGGAATGAGAATCAAATAGTGGGATCAAGAGTCCATTGGTGGAAAACAAGCTTCACTGGTGGGAACAAGATTCACTAGTGGGACGAGCTTCACATGTGGGAACAAGATTCACTAGTTAGGATGAGCTTCACTGATGGAAACAAGATTTACTTGTTGGAACGAGCTTCGCTGGCGGGGAAAAAGATTCATTGATGGGACTAGATTCAGTGGTTGAAACAAGCTTTTCACTAGTTGGGATGAGCTTCACTGGTGGGAATAAGATTGTGGAGCCGTAATATGTCGCAACGCCGCTAAATGTCGCACCAATACCGGCTAAATGTCGCACAATACGCTAAAATGTTCGCAACTGCCGCTAAATGTCGCAAAATCATTTGCCGTTAAATGTCGCAATGTTACCGTTAAATGTCGCACGAATTTTTCCGCTACCGTTAAATGTCGCAACACTACCGTTACATGTCGCAAGATATAAAAATTCATGTTAAATTCGATGATTCAAAAAGTAGTAGTATTTTAATTTAAAACGCTCTCATAGTTATTGTTTACTGTAATTTCCATTTACAAAAAGTATCTTGGTTTTAAATTGCTTTTCTATTATGAACCTACAATATCGAGGGATTTAAGACTTGCTATATAATGTAATATTGACGCTATAGAAAGCGTATTCTAGAAAGATACAATTGAAATTCTAAGGTCTCAATTAGATAAGAATTTTTCTTTTGTCTCCGCTTTTCATCTTATAACCCTGATTGACAACAGTCTTAAAGTATTATGATATTGTCGCGATCAGAATTCCGGTTTTGAGTAATTATCATTAATTTGAGACCTTTTTTCTTGCTAGTACTACATAGAAATACAAATGATACTAGCGACGGTTAAGCACCCATTTACACACGTCCCGGTTTAGGTGTTTCCGGTTAGCCACAGTTTAGGAAATAAATATAAATAAATTCGACTCAAACCATCGATCAACCGTTGGCTAAACCGGCGTATGGGTCGTGTATGAAATTCCGTGAAGTAAAGGGACAAAACCATGTATGAACCGGAACAAACTGAGATATCACCACGGTATGTCTCAAATGTTTAATACAACCGGGATCACCGGCACTCGCCGAGAGGACAGGCCCAAATCCGTGTTCTATCGGCTGTTGGGAACAGAATTGCCGGCGGAAAAACCCCCCTCGTATCTATTACTGCATCATTTACCGTGACAAATCGTAGTTAAACCGGGATGCGTGTCAATCAATGGTCCCAGACGGCAAAGTCCCGGTGATGACACGATGATTGCCACGGTAAAAACAGGCAGAGCTACGGTAGAGCCAGCGGTACATTGAGGTCACTTGCAACAAAGCTCCGGTTGGAAGCCGGTAATTGTCCCGGATATTGCAGACAAGTACGGTTATACAACGATGATAGTACGGTTGGTGTAAACGACACTCATGCCGATACAGGAAACTTTAAAGAACAGGAATATAATAAACTTGAAGTGCTACTTTTGGATCATTTTGTTATAGAGAAGGAACACGGAGCATGGACAATTGTGTTAAATGAGAGAAGGAAAAAATTCTTATAGCTGGTGCATTTTCAGCTTCAGGTACCTCAACCTCTGAAGGTGTTTGGTAGACACAGTTTCTTTTCTATCGTCCATCCCCTTTACCTTCGGATTGGCATTTCTGCTGTCTTTTTTTACCAATGAGCTTGGATTGTCAACGTTGCGTTCAGTCAGTCTTTATTCTCAATAAAACGTTGAAACAGGAAGCATCGGTGGCATTACCAGGGCGTCACCGGCCAAAGTACCGGCATCACCCAATAGCATTACCGTGGCAAAAAAAAGGCGATGAGTGCGGAAATGGACCGTGATGAGAAACCGAGTCTTAGTCGGGTTTCCACCGGAATCAAGCGGGAATACACCGACGTCTTAGCATCGGCGCTATATCGTATATATCTGGTGCTATATCGGGTTCTGAACCGGGAATACACCTGGGCTCTATCGGGATGGTGTAAACGCAATTTGATTTCTCAGAAAAAACACCACGGAACAACCTCGGTTCACCAGCTTAAGACACAGTAGCGATACCTGGCCATTACCGGGAACAGTGTTAATTTGGGCTTTATCAAACGGAACCTGCAATTGTTCAATTTTGCCGTTTTGGACTTTCTTAAGGGGTTCTTATTTTTTTCTCTATTTTATCAATGACTGATGAGTTCCTCAACACACATCTGAACAACTTAAGTATTCAAGGAAAAATAGCACTCAACCCACTGATCCGGGGCCCAAAGACCAAACAATTTTCATACAGTGAACCAGTGACATAACAATTAAGCTGATGCTTATGGTTTAAACATATTTATTGCATATATTTTAATCATACATTTATTACATACATTCAGTTTCATAACCATACTAACATAATACACGCAAAGGATTTTGCACGGAAGCACTAGGTGCTTATTAAACTCAATCTCCATTATTGATAAATTACAAATAAAAACTAATACATGACTGGTAGATCTATGAGCAAGTAAAGAGCATATAAAAATGTGTACCACAACCGCTTCTATTGATTGTATATTAAATATTTTTGAAAAAAATACACAAAACTAGGCTATGTGT